CGCCTTGAAGCGTATCCGAAGACCAATAGGCAGCCAGTGCAGCTCGCGGAGGATAGGTGTTAAGTGGGTAAACCGAAGTACACCCACGATTGCTCGTGCGGCTGCATTCTGGACAAGCTGAAGTCTCCGAATGCTCTTCAAGGGCTGCCCCATGTAGAGCACATTTTTCTGTCCGAAATGTGCTTTCCAAAATTTGTGATTCTTATAAAAATTATGAGGGACAGGGTGGCTCAGTGGCTATGACGCTGAGTTTGTCGATCAGAAAGATCGGCAGTTCGGTGGTTCTAATCCCTAGCACCGCGTCCCAGCTTCCGCCAACCTAGCAGTTCGAAATCACGTAAAAAATGCAAGTAAAAAATAGTTTTTCTACTCTATAAAAAAAACCTTTGGTGGGAAGGGAACAGCGTTCCGTGCGCCTTCGGCATTTAGACATGTCGGCCACATGACTACAGGGATGTTTTCGGACAGCGCTGGCTCTTCGGCTTTGAAACGGAGATAAGCACCACCCCCTAGAGTTGGGAACAACTAGCACATATGTGCTTTACCTTTACCTAGCTATACAATATTTTTTCTTAACTATAAAGTTATCATTATTTCTTCTTCCTTCAACTCTTTCCTTCTTTTTCTTTGCCTTTCCTCTTTCCCTTTCTCCTTCCCTGTCTCTTCTTGAATGCTCTTGCAAAATGGGAATGAAAAGTTTCATTTGTTTTGTGTTTAGTTTGTTTTGCTAGCCCTCTGCCAGTGAAAAATGGGTGCGGGGGGCCGCAACAGCCTCCTGCAGCCTCCTTACAGCCAAAACGGAACTCCTCTGATGTTTCCAGGCCGGCCCACGGGCCGGATCTAAGCACCCCGCGAGCCGAATCCTGGCCTTGAATTTGACGCCCCTGATCTAAGAGCACATATTGCATATTTGCAAACAGACAGCTTTTAAAACAGCCGATCAAGAACTCCTTCAATGCAGTGAAAAAGGTCCTCCTTTGTACCAATTTGATTTATCAAAGGCCTTTTCTGAATGCTCGACGTAGCCCTGACATTCAGCCAGCCATAAATGGCATCAACAGATAACATTATAAAGGAAAAATAGAGAGATACCCCAAGTGGCCGCGGATGGTGGCCCGAATAGGAGCAGTCTAGTTTTTCTACTTCTTCAGTTCCTTCTCCTTCTCCCTCATCGCTGGATAATCGGCAGAGTAAGTCTCCTCCCAGGACTGGGAGAGGCAATTCTGGTACGTTTCCGCTGTGATTTGAAGAGGTGCTGCTGTTTATGCTGTTTGAAGAGGAGGATCTAAGGAGAGGTTAAAACGGGGGGG